TTTTCATTAGGGACCATAGATTGTATATATAGTCTACAGTGTTACATGTATATCTCGTAAAAAATAAAATACTATATCATACATGCAAATGGTACAATGCCTGTTGTCAATGCATCTTATATACACATATATAACTATGGTTCCAGAGTTTTCTTACCTCATAATTCCGTGTTAACTAAAAAATGTGATCTACTTGTAGATAGTTTCAAAATTTCCAAAAATTAACATCAGCATCAGCTTATTATGCAAGGTTTCTATTTTTTATACTAATGTTTGTTCATTTTATAAAACTTAGCAAGCCTTTACTGATATCTTTAATACCCCTATAACCAATATACATGTACTCTATAGAGTTTATTAGAAGCGCATCTCCAATAGAAATAAAACCAAAAATCACATTTGTTGTATACCATATCATTAAAATTTTACTTTTACTTTTAACCATCAAAACATGTGCGCAACTAATGAAGCCAATGTTACATACACTGCTATCTTATTCCAAAGAACCAATACAATCTATTGATGGGTTACTGTAATTCCTCGGTTTTAAGAGATGTGTAAATGTCACACGGATCTTGTTAAATTTTAGTCCATGTGTCAGCTCTGGTCTACTTTTTCTCTCCAAAGTCATTTATGGCTGGCTTCAGCTGACGCATGGAAATCACATTTGGGGATTCCTTGGGATGTTAACTGTCAGCCAATGAGAGTACACTTTGTTGAATTGAAATTAATGGTCTCACTGAGCTCATTAGTAACTACAGGTACGGATTCCTTCTAACATTTGAACATGATTTCTGTACATATACATTAGAATGATAGATGGCATAAGATGTGAGCAATGGAGAAAAAGACTTATACCTACATGGTGGTAGACACATTATTTCAGGGGTCTAATTTGCATAATGACTAGTAAATTTTCGGCTTTTCCGCTTATGTCGCAAGTACCAATCACATTACAATGAAACTTGGTACATAGATGTCATAGGACAATGCACCTAGACCTGATAAGTTTTGGGTTAATATCTGTAGCATTATGATTTTCTAATTTGCATAATGATTAGTAAATTTTCGGCTTTGCTGCTGAGGTCTCAAGTACTAATCATCACATTATAAGGAAACTTGGTATATATGTCCTAGGACAATGCACAGACCTGATACGTTTTGGTTTAATATTTGTGCATATTAATTACCTAATTTGCATAATGAATGAATCAAATTTCAGTGAAACTTGGCACATGGACATTGAATTATATTTAGTCAGTTTTCAGCTTTTGCATCAATATCTCAAGTACTTACTATCTTTTATTCAATGAATCTTGGTACATAAATACACAAAGACAAAGCACCTAATTAGTTTTGGGTTTATATATAAAACATCCATAATGATTACCTAATTCGCATAAGAATTAACCACAACATTATATAGAAACTTGGTCCATTTGTGCCTTGGGCAATACACAGACCTAATTAGTTTGGGGTTGCAATCTATGCATAATAATTGCTTAATTTTCATAATAATTAGCCATTTTTTTTTTCAAAAAGCAATTATTGCATTTTAATAAGACTTGGTATATGGGAACAATGCACTAGTTTTGGATTGAAATTCGAACATACTAATTGCATAATCATCACATTTCATTCAAATTTGGTTTATAGTTGTTCTGGGTAATCCACTGATGTGATTAATTTAATAATGAAAAGCTTGCATATTTATTATCTAATTATTGTTAGCCAATTTCTGGTATCTCAAAAACTAAGATTTAAATTGAACTTGTGGTAGAGGTACTCTGGAATAAATTAGACTGAAAACCACAGATGAAAAATCAAATGTATTTTCTGTAAGTACCGATAATATTATAAACATGTTGTAGATCTCAAATAGCCAAGCCAAGCTTCTTGTTTGGAAGGCTAATTCATTTTTAATATATCTCCAATAATCTCAGCACACGGGAGTTCTTTCTAAGTTTTCTTTGATTTTTTTTCAGATTGTCTTTTTAAGATATGTCCTATGAGCAGATATTCTGCACAGAAACAGTTTTGGAAAGCTGCTAAGCCAACTCTTACGAATGCAACCGACACAGTATTATTGAAAAAGCTGCATGTGAGTTGAAGATTGTTTCTTATCTGTAATCATTTTGTATGAACCATGTTGAATCTCTATCTAGACAACATTGATACTTGTATTCAGGAAAACCACATTTAGTGTATACACATAATGTATGACTAGTACAAGTAGATCCTAATTACTTTCAGAAGTGATTACCTCCTAATCTTGTAAAATCAAAGTAATCTCTTGTACCGTATCAATCTACATTAACTCTCTCACTGTAATTCATTTTTGTATCTTTCCTCATATTCCTCTATAACAAATATTGATCAAATTTTCATGAAATTCTGTGAGGAATTTTTAATATAATTACAGAATGATTTGCACCTCCATGTTTAAGCGAGAGAAAATTCAATCTCTAGTGCAATATACCAGTTGTTGGATATTTAACTTTCCTCCTTGGCCTCACATGGAATAACAATTAGGAATAATATTTAGTGCCTGGTTGATGTCTACATAGCTTATGTATTTTCTTCTTAAAAGGAGCTGTCTATCAGAGTCTGCTTTTTAAGTAGGATTACCTATATTTTTAGATGAGTACTATTTCGTGCCAGGAAGAAGTAACAAATAAAATATTTGAATTCAGTGGCTAATTCTTTCGATTCACTGAATAGAGAAATTCATTGTGTACTATTGAGTGGAATTCATCTGTATTTAGAAAAATAGCTGTTCATAACTGGCAAACTGGTATACGTAAGTACTGTAGTGACATCATTGATGATGTCATACTTACAGGTATAAAATACTTGATGGACATATATTTTACCATCATGGTTTGCATACAAATTTTCTTCATTTTGCTAGACTTTTAGACCACTCGCTTTACATTGGCCAACCATAGTCTCTCTGTATTGTATAAATTGACCCATTATCTCATTAATGAGTACACCTGTAATTAAATATAATTATTATAAGTCGTGATTTTTTAAAAATTGTAGATCTGGACAGAGGTTGTTTTCATACTGTTTATGCAAAATGCTTGACTAGGTCACTGCACTATACTATAGAATGAACTATTTAAACCATTCAAATACCAATCTATTCCATTCCATTAAACCATAATGGCTTAACCATTCAAGCAGATACAGACTGAGATGACACAACTTCTCTATGAATTCGATTCCAGATTGCATCTTAGATGTTTCTTCAGTATTTAAGTGTCGATAAAGACCTACTTATACAACAGTATTTCCATCAGTTCCTATGTAACTAATGGTATTCCTGTCACTTCATTATGACTAACGATTTTACCGTCTCTTTTATTCTGACTAGTAATATTACAGGCATTTTTATTCTGATGGTTCTGCACTAGACAGTAATGCAGTGTCTGTGTATCAGAGAAAGTTCTGTGTCTTAGTCATAACCTTTATCTTATCTACTTTATACCATATCATAAAATTAGCCAAGTTGCTGTGATTTGAAAGTCATTTTACCTTTTGTTCTTATGAAGTGGGACTTTGTGACTTGCTGCTCAAGTTCCTTTGGATAAACCACAGACCTGTTTAATTTAGGGTTGAAATCTATTCATATTATTAACCCTATATTTGCATATTTTCTGACATCTCTATAACCACTTTTAAAGAAACTTGGTATATATGCTTTTGGATAACCCTAAAACTGTACATGTACAGTGTGGAATCAAATTTATCATAATATTTCTATAGTTAGTATAATTAACTTAGATTCTAGGATTTACATTGCTTGTTACAATTCACATATTGAAGAGCAAAGATTGGTACTAGTATATAAGTGACAGTCTTCAAATTTTTCATTAATCTATTTCTAATTGTTTTTCAATTATCTCCAGTACCCCTCAGCATGTGGGAATTCTTTATAAGCTTACTTTGAGAGTATGCAATTATTTTGTAAAAATGTATCATTTATTGGTGAGTTACTGTGATTGTCTCATTGTCATTTCCAAAGACTGGCAGTCATTTTTGTTATGACTGATATTATTATCAAGCCACAATACACACAATTGATACTTGATTGCATACCTTTTGTACAGATTATGAAAGATTCCCAGTGATATCACATCACATCATATCCAACCTACTTGTTACTTATTTTGATATTGGCATTTTTTGAATAGAATTGTGATTAGTGGCACTGTTTAACCTCTGAGTGATTGACATGATATCCCCTGTGAGTTTCTAACCATGTATCTATATTGTGCTTGCCTAGTGTCTCCAACTCTGCTAGTGTCAGATTACCAAGTATAGCTAACAGTAATGTCCGGAATCTTTATCTGTTGTTCCTGGCATGTATGTATAGTAATAATATTCATATTCAGTAAGGTCTCAAAAAATAAATAAAAAAGGAAATGAAAAGGTAATAGGAAATTCAACGAGTGGTCATTCAACTTGCTGTCCGTCATTTACAAGATTCTCACCCAAAAAACGAAAGAGGCGAAAATGATAGAATTGAAGATTTGATTCAGCAAGCATTGTTCCATGCACAGTGCTTAAAGTTAATTTACTGTTAATACAAATGGTGTATTGTATTTATTTGCTCATGGATATTTTAATTAATATTCAACGCATGTAATGACGATTTAATTATCATCTTAATGTATGTATTTGTCAAGAACCTTCATCAGAATCTGTAATAACTTAGTCATTAGAGAGTCTACCTTCTGTGGGGGAAGTTGGGGGTTTGGCAACTATTTCAATAGTTGAGGAAGAGCTCTATCTCCTTGTCAGCTACTCATTAAAGCTATACAATGTTTGCCAAGGTGCAAGGTCTGATTTATAATCGCAGTCAATGTACAGTTATCTGTAGCAATTTACAATCTGCTTATAAATACAGCTGTAGTGATATCAGAGAGATGTGTGAATTCACGGAAACAAACGTATGACCGGAAAAGTGTGTCACATGACCAAGAGTATCTTATTACCTTGCCATACACATGTTGTCTTTGGTAATTCTTTTCTATCAATGTTTCTTAATCTGCATGTATATGCAGTGTGTTGTGTATTGCAGGCGGGAGGGAGGATTTGACAATTCTGAAAAAAATTATCACCATATATTCATTAGTGCTTATAACATGCTTGACACTTTTGTTGTTAAATTGAGCACTTTATTAAAGGTCATTATGATCTTTATGAGAAAGAATTTGTACCTGCGTCAATGCTTTATCAGATCTGGAAGTCGTATTATCTTAATAAAAAGTCATACAATGTCTGAAGTAGACATGTAAAGTTTTCTGTCTTTATGTTGTGTCTCTGGCAAGTAAACTGTTTTCACTCTTGAATACTGTCAGTAAATTGTGTTAATTTGAGGAACCTCTTGTGCACTTGTCAATGCTACAAAAATTTCACAGTATCCTTATGAAAGTGAAGTGGTCTATTTCATATGAGAGATAAGCAGACCATCCATTTTGTGACAGCAGGAAATTTGAGGCCTTCACATCACCACATTGCATGCTGCCGGAAATAAACCAACTTAAAGGCACTTTTCAGTTTCCAGATTAAATATGCAGCAAATAGACTTTTAGTATATTTTCAAATACAAAGTGCAACACAATGCGGACAACAGGGATTACCTGTAATCTCACATTGTTACCATAAATCGAGGACATCTTTTGTGGCCTTGTGATTCAAAACAATCTGTAGTTTGAAAAACATTGAAATGTTAAAGTCAATATCAACAGATAACATTCATTCATTTCTTAGTGGTTTTTTCAAACTCTGGTTTGAAGAATTATCACTAATAAAAAGTATGTAGTTTTAATCTTTCTCATAATAATACTAGATATATGTGGGTGTACGAGTAAAAGATCATTACAGTGCTTTGCCCAAGGATGGATTGAACTCTTTTCATTATTTATCAATGCAACTGGAGGGACATGTAAAAATTAAATTTGTGTTTCACAGCTAATGGTATGAGTTTTGAACAGAAATGTCTTTTCAAATTAATTCAATTTATTTCCTAGATTAAAGAGATTGTAATAATATCCGAAAAAATAAATTACGAATGCCGACAGTGAAGATTACAAATGGCTTCATAGTACGTGCATGATTGTTGTTACTGATTTTAAAATGCTTCAACATTTACCTCTAATCATATATACCGGAAAATTGAGTGAATCATTTGCTCCCAGTCTACATTTGTATTTTCTGTTTATTTTGTTTGTATATGTTATGTTTTCTCTATATACCAGGGTATTGCTTTGTGTCTATTGCTGATTTTTTGCTTATTGCCATTTGCTCTCTTTCATTAAAGTATTGCTTATGTCAATACTCTGTAAGCACCAGTGACTTTTCTATGTAGTGGATCTTACCTAGGAGGTAAAAGACAGAAGGAGATACAAGTGGTTTAAGATCAAAGGTTTCATGATAATTTCTGCTGTTTACTCAGTAATTATAATGTTTGCTCCTTAATCTAACAGCAAACAACAAATTATCTACAGATAAGGCGAATTAACATATTACAATATAATTTGTCTCAAAACCGTGATGTACCCGGAAAGATGTACCCGGAAGTTATGCAATGTGGCTAATGAAAAAAAAAATCGAAAACAGTTTACTACTGTCTACTGCATGTGTGGAGTACTCCGAAGGGACATAATTTTAACACCATTACATAGATTGTAACGTATGCTATAATTTAAACCAACACATAAGTGGGCCAATTTGATGCAACCCTGCAAAAACAGCAGTTGAAATAACCTATAGAAACTCCATGGAAAAAACGAAAAAACAAGACAACTTACTGATAGATTCTCTAATTTTTAAAATTTCAAACATGAGTAAACTTGTCATAAAAATGGCATTCTTTCTAGAAGCATTGCACAAATAAAAATACAATTATTCTCGTAAAACACCGCATAGCAACCGAGGGGGAAAAAAAGACCCACCCTTGGTTATGAAGACAGTGAACACTAGCTTCGGAAATGATGATGGGTGTCAACGGATGTTTAAACAGACAAGATTACCTCCATGATCTTACAGACCTCATCAGTCATGGTCATTTTAGGTAATTTGACGCATGGA